TGGTAGTGTAGTGGTGATGGAGGTGATGTTACTGGTAGTGTAGTGGTGATGGAGGTGATGTTAGTGGTAGTGTAGTGGTGATGGAGGTGATGTTAATGGTAGTGTAGTGGTGATGGAGGTGATGTTAGTGGTAGTGTAGTGGTGATGGAGGTGATGTTAGTGGTAGTGTAGTGGTGATGGAGGTGGTGTTACTGGTTATGTTATGGTAATGGTTGCAATGGTCACTAACCTGCTGCTTTACTGGTAGTGTAATAGTAGTGTAATGGTAGTGTAATGGTAATTGGTGATGGTTGTAATGGTCACTAACCTGCTGCTTTAATGGTAGTGTAATAGTAGTGTAATGGTAGTGTAATGGTAGTTGGTGATGGTTGTAATGCCACTAACCTGTCTAGCAGCAGCAGCGTGTGTGAGGCGGCTGAGCTCCTGATGCTGCAGGTGGTAAGCGTCTGCCAGCACCTGCAGCAGCAGGCGCTGCGTGCCCGTGCACAGCGGGGGCAGGGGCTTCTCCTGCTGGGGAGGCGCCTGCTCCCCCTCCTGGGGGGCGGCCAGCTCCCCCACCTTCTTGACGAGGGCGTCTTGTCGGCCTCCTGCAGTAGGCGTGGCAGGGAGCGATCTGTGCACGCATACATGTCGGTTAGCCGTGCGTACATGTGACACTTGATACGCACATGACACGGTCCTGCACGCACACGACATGTCACGCACACGACACGACACGCACACGACATGACACGCACACGACACGACACGCACACGACACATCACGCACACGACATGTCACGCACACGACACATCACGCACACGACACATCACGCACACGACACATCACGCACACGACACATCACGCACACGACACGACACGCACACGACATGACACGCACACGACACGTCACGCACACTTCACGTCACGCACACGACACGTCACGCACACAACATGACACGCACACGACACGCCACATACACGACATGACACGCACACGACACATCACGCACACACGCTCACGACATGACACTTCAAGCACACGACACGGCACGCACACGACATGGTCCTGCTGTCACGCACACAACACGACACGACACGACATGCACACGACACGTCACGCACACGACACGTCACGCACACGACACGTCACGCACACGACACATCACACGACACGCACACGGCACATCACGCACCTGGGTTGCAGGAAGGCGTGTGGCAGGATGGCAGGAGGCTCAGGGTTGACCTGTTCGTACTGCGCCTGCAGGAGCAGGTTGTGCTCCCCAGCGAAGCTGCTGACGAACACGTCCACGAGGGAGACTTGCCCCTCCTGCTGGGGGGCGGCAGCAGGAGGGGTGGGGACGGGGGCGGGGACTGGCGCCCTGGCGGGTTTGGGAGGTGGGGACTTGAGCTTGACAATGTCGTTNGTCGTGCTGTCTCTTATACACATCTAGATGTGTATAAGAGACAGGGGGCGGCATGAGGAGGGGTGGGGACGGGGGCGGGGACTGGCGCCCTGGCGGGTTTGGGAGGTGGGGACTTGAGCTTGACTATGTCGTTGTGGTCTGGGGGCCACTGCGTGCACTGCAGCAGGTACAGGAGGTCCTGTAGCAAGTCCTCCCGCGCTACCATCTGCAACAACACCGACACATCACTTGATGCAACACATCACTTGGTGCAACACATCACTTGCTGCAACACATCACTTGGTGCAACACATCTCGAAAATATCCGACTACACATCAGCAACGTGGGTGCTTAATACCAGATCCCACAACACGTTGAGAACCGTAAAAATGGTCCATAACCGCAAGCAAATCAAAACCAACACGTTGAAACACGCAAATCAAAATTATCCACAGGTGCAAACACACGACTTCAACGCAACTATAAGATTTCAATTCGTGGTCTACTGCTATGTTTTGTGTGTTCCTATGTACTGTTTGTAGTGCCTGTCATAATTACTATCAACTAGAATAGGTAACTAAGATGTTCTCTATATGCAAATTTCTCATCACATTGCGCCAATGTACACTAATGACGACACAATGGATAGCTACTACACTACGTACTTACTTGGATACCGGTACCTAAACATGACTTCCATTGTTAAATGTATGTTAACTTGTTCCGTCGGCATTAACACTTGTAGGTACCTAGCAAAAATAATTCATTCATTACCAAGTTTGAATTTCGATTAGGAATTCCAATATTCACGTAATTACAATTTTCTTTCATACGATGAAAGATCGCGAGATGGCATTATTAAGGCAAGTTTTGGAGGTTGTTAGAGAAAACTAAGAGAAGATGAATTGAAAAAGAGGCAAGCAAAAAGGAGAATCACAAGAAGAAAAGGTAAGAGACCCCGAGATACGAGCGACACGAGCAGATAGATAGGGATACGAGGTCTGGAGATAAGAGCGATACGAGCAAACGACGTGATCGCTATCACCAAGTTTATCTGACGCCAGGTCGGCACGAATCGACATCGAGTTTAACTAACGCTTTCGCAAATATAACATCAGTGTTAATTAAATGTAATTCCACAAATATAACATCGCTGGTTCAAATTATAACATCAGTGACCGTAGTATTATAACTAGCTACGAGTTTGTAACTCCGTCAGCCAACTGATAACTGATAGATTTTCAAGCTAAGCCTTCCAATCACACACGAGATGTCAGACGTTACATGTAATTATATAGGCCGCTATACCGTCAACTGGGCTGATTTTGGTTAACGGGGGTGACTTCGGTCACCGAAGTCACGGGGGTGACTTCGGCCACCACTACAACAGAAACAAATGGCAGCAAAACAAAATAATAAACGTTGGCCAAAGTGACCTCGGTGGCCAAAGTCACCCCAGTCACATAATTTTGGCCTACGTTCATTATTTTGTTTTGCTGCCATTTGTTTCTGTTGTAGGTGTGGCCGAAATCACCCCCGGTGGCCGAAATCACCCCCGGTGGCCGAAATCACCCCACTTGACGGTACGTGTCCTCAGGCCGCTGCATGTATATACTGAAGCTAGTTTAACAAAACGGCCTGTTGTTTGAGAATATCCTGATTTTGTCCGAATAGCGATGCACTTTTTGTCATTGTGTAGGTCATCCTAACCCAGTTTAGTCCAACAATAATGCTCGTGCTGTAGGCTATAATAAGCATCACTACTGGGACAATATGACATTAATTTTTCTGAGTGGAGCTTCGCATGGCTCAGGTAACCTTCACTAATTCGTGATTCGCCGACGCAGCAAAAATCTGCACCGCTAACATTTTCCCTCGATGATATAACAATCTGAACGCAGCATAGCNGGGGTTACAACCTTAGTGTAGTAACTAGGGGCTCACAACCCTAGTGTGTCTAGAGGGTTACAACCCTAATGTAACTAGGGGGTTACAACCATAGTGTAACTAGGGGGTTACTACCCTAGTGTAACTATATAGGGGGTTACAACCCTAGCGTAACTAGGGGGTTACAACCCAAGTGTAACTAGGGGGTTACAACCCTAGTGTAACTAGGGGGGTACAACCCTAGTGTAACTAGTGGGATACAACCCTAGTGTGACTAGGGGGTTACGACCCTAGTGTATTAACTAGGGGATTACCCGCCCTAGTGTAACTCGGACTAGAAACTGTAGTGCCTTGAATAAATGATATACCCCAATGTAAATGATACCCCACTTGTAAATGATATACCCCAATTATAAGCGAGGTTGAACACAACATTGAGGATGATTTTTTCCACCAGCATTCAAGACTCGCCATAATTCTAAGCAGGGTCAGGGCGTACGTGCAAATGCACGTCCTAGTCCTGCCTGGATTTTAAATGCAAAGCTCTTGACAGTTATCACCGAGACTTTGAGATGAATGAGTCATATGTAAATGACGACACTCATTGAACTAAGTGAGAGTCGTATGCAAATGACGACAGTGATTATATACCATAGAAGCTAACACTCAAAGAAATGAGTGTCTTTATCCAAATAACGATGCACTCTTTGTCCTGACACGCCTAGTTTGGATCGACAAAAAACGTTTCAGTGTTGCTTGCAGAAAGTGTCACTATATGGACAACATGACCCATTTCATTCTCTGAGTGTAAAGTACAGAATAATCAATCTATATCGCATAAATTACTTACGTAGATATAAATAATTCATGTACATTGCATATATCAACATACATCAATCATGACACGGAAGAACATTAGGCCTCGGCGACAAGTTTCCTGCAGGATCCTGGCCGTCTCCATGGCAACAATGGAAACTGAAGCTTGAAGTATAAACATGACGGCAAATCTCTTACATTGAATCTTATTTTCCAGCCGTAAAAAGCGCGGTGAGGCCATTAATGCGAGATAAGGCCGTAAATTGGTGGTGAGGCAGTAGTATATGCTTGGTGAGGCCGTAGTATATGCTTGGTGAGGCCATAAATGCGTGGTAAGACCGTAAATGCGTAATCATGCTTTACATTGACCCATTAGTAAGATCAAACGAATCACCGATAAATGGAAAACTAAGTCGACCGCCTTCGCTCACCGACGAACATACAATAATTGTCTGCCGTGCTGTGCTTGTTGCGCCGTGCCGTGCCGTGCTGTGCTTGCTGTGCCGTGCCGGGCTTGCTGCGCTGTGCTTGCTGTGCCTGAACAGCCTTGTGCCACCAGAATGTTACCGTCAGCAATAAAGTTCATTAATAAAGCAATGAAGCAATTATCCTTGTCACCAACAGCAGAGTATAACGGCGCGTGAGTCTTCGTCTCGCTCTCAGTTCACAATGAGAATCTCATTCGATATAATATACAAAGTCAGCCAATAAATGCCAAAGACTTACACAAAGCCAGCCAATAAGTGCTAAAGCCTTCAACAAAGCCAGCCGATAAGTGCTCAAGCCACCAACTGAGCCTTCAACAATCCAGCCAATGTCCTAAACGAAGTCTGGCATAAGCTGGCTAATGCTACAATGAAGCTGATTCATAAATGTTAAAATCTTCGATTAACCAAGCCGATTGAAAATTTTCTATGATGAAGTCATCCAATCACAATTAAATTTTTCAACGAACCCGGCCAATCACAAAGTCGACAAACCACAACTCGACTCTTCACCACAGCCGGCGACATTGCTCAAATTGTCAAAAAAAATCAGTAATTTAACGAACAGCTTCCCCGACGATCTATATTTCAACATAAGTTATTTATATATTATTTAGTTATATTTATTTAGTTACATCAACTTGTTGAAACATGAGAACCAGTTAGAGTGAATATGAAGCCCTTTTTTTCATTTATAGGCCACAGCAACACCGAGCAACTATAGATGACACTGTTTTACAATGTTCCACAGCAAACTTCAGCCTGAATTTCAGGTTCCACATAGAATTACCCCCTGAATTTCTGGTTCCACCTAAAATTTCACCNAAGTAAAACCCACATGAACTCCGTGCTTTGCTTCAGAGGCCAACTGCTCACGAGACATTTGCTTTCCCCCAGCACTGCAAAACAGGACAATAACTGTCTCTTATACACATCTAGATGTGTATAAGAGACAGACTATAGATGACACTGTTTTACAATGTTCCACAGCAAACTTCAGCCTGAATTTCAGGTTCCACATAGAATTACCCCCTGAATTTCTGGTTCCACCTAAAATTTCACCCTGAATTTCAAAACCCAATTGTTTGAAGTGCTACATCGGTAATTAGCTTCTAATTATCAACAGGTCTGGACGACGATCCCTTGGTAACGTCAGCGCTGTCGTTCCCGGTCCATATATATTTGCCACTCGCGTGATGCAACGTCGGCAGTGTGTCAGGATGTAGGAACTTTTTCTGCTCTAGCCTTGAGCGCGCGGGAGAATAAATGTCAGAAATCGAATTGTAAGGTCAGGAGGAAGAAAATCCCGCTGGTCCCAAGCCCGGATATTTACGTGAAAGCAAAATCAAGACATTTAAGTGAGTCTCAAGCCCAGACATTCTATGAGTCCCCGCCCAGACATTCAAGTGAGCCCAGAACTTTTAAGTGAGCCCCAGGCCCAGACATTCAATGAGTCCCAAGCCCAGACATTCAAATGAGTCCTAAGCCCAGACATTCAATTGAGTCCTAAGCCCAGACATTCAATTGAGTCCTAAGCCCAGACATTCAATTGAGTGCCAAGCCCAGACATTTAAGGGAGCCCCAAGCCCAGACATATAAGCAAGTCCCAAGCCTTGACATTTAGGGAGCCCCAAGCCCAGACATATAAGCGAGTCCCAAGCCCTGACATATAAGCGAGTCCCAAGCCCTGACATATAAGCGAGTCCCAAGCCCAAACATTTAAACGAGTCCCAAGCCCAGACATTCAACTGAGTCCCAAACCCAGATATTCATGCGAGCCCAAGACCAGCTATTGGCCATTAATAGCCCCAAGCCCAGTACCAAGCCCAGACATTCAAGAGAGTCCCAGTCCAGC